CCCTCCTGCTGGGACTTTGGGCACGCCCACATGCACCTGCTGTGATTTTCTTTTTTTTAGTGAATTACTTATTTAGTTCTATTTGTTATTATTTATTAAATTCTGACCAGAGAAAGATGGGGAGGGGGAGAGAGAGAGAAGCAAGAAAGCCAGCCTCGAGGTCTGGGACTCGAACTGTGGTCACCCACGTGGGAGTCCAGTGCCTTAACCGTCACACCGCCTACCAGCCCCAGCATGATTTTGAAGCCACTAGGTCCAAGACCCAAACCGTGGCCTGCCGAGTGGAAGTCCAGTGCCTTAATGCTGTGCCGCCTGCTGGCCAGAACTCATCTCATTTTTAGACAAAATGTACCAGCAGGCAGGTGCACTCACCAGAGAGAGGGGTGGGGAGAGCGCCCCTAGTGGGGAAGGCCATGTCCCCTAGTGGGGAAGGTCCCCTGTGGGCACCCCGTGGGGCTCGGCATACACACCTTGCCTGGGTGCCGTGGAACTGCTTGTGACCGGGGTCGGAACTGTGGTGTCGGCCCTGTTGGGCCTGGGGACTGGCCCGGCACCCGGTTCACGTTCACGGAATGTGGGATGAACTCTGGGTCCAGGGCTTTCCTACCCCGCCCCCCCTTCCTTAGCACTTCCCGGAGGGGCTCCCACACTCTCCTCCCCCTCCTGGCCCTCCACTCTTGGCTGGGCCGGTCTAGCTTCCCGGAGCCCTGTGTCTCCCACGGCCCGCAGTCCCACCCAGGGCGTTCCGGAGCACAGGCCGGCCAAGGGCGCAGTCCGCTCTCCGGGGACAGGGTTTCTTCCTCATTCTCTGGTTACGCTGTCATCACCTCAGGCTCCCAAAAGAACAGGTGCTTCTACCCAGCTGATCCATCCTCTTAGACGAGGGGCAAGGGGCAAGGGGCAGGTCGGCGCCCGCCCTCGCCGTGGGGAAGCCCAGGGGACGCCACGGCAGACCCACGGAGGCCTCCCCTCCTGCTCACTCTGCTATGTCAGGCGCGTGCATGGCCTGGGGGCCCTGGTGCTGTCACAGCCCAACTGGAGAGGGCGGGACCGCATTCCCGGTGTCCGTGCCAGGCCGGAGTGGGGCTGGGCCAGGTTGGGGTTTGGAGCATGCACTTAGGGCTTGTCAGTTCCCACTCTTGTGGGCTGGGGGACTGCCCAGGACAGAGTCAGCCAACTGGGGTTTCTCGAGGCCTGGGAGGAGCCCTGGGCCAGAGCGGCTCAGAACATGGGGCGGGGCCGTCGGAGGAGCCGGGAAGAGGCTCAGAATTCCGGAAGGAGGCTCCCGTGGTGGGTGAGGACTGTGGGGGGCTGGAGAGGGGTCTGAGCTGATGCAGAAACTCCAACCTTGGGACACTGGGGCTCTCTGAGGTTCCGTGTGTGTCATGCCCGACTGGCACGCCCACTCGCCCATGCATCACCATTCCAGTGGCCGGGTCGGGCTTCCCGCCTTCTGCTCGGGTCAGGTGTGTGCTGGTCTACCCGGGAGGCCCCTTGCTCTGAGCCCGAGCGAGGGCTCTTCCCCACGGGGTGCTGTGAGACCAGGCCTCGTGGGGCCTGGCCGTCTCGCCTCTGCACTGACTTGGGCACGAGGCAGGAGGTTGGCGCAGCCTGCTCTGTCTCGGCCTCCAGGTCGGGCCCATCCACAAAGGAGAGGAGCCTGCCCTTGGGCTCTGTTGCCTCCTCGGCCAGAGCTGCCACCCGCTCACGGCTGGGACATCGGGTCACAGAAGGGACAGCACACAGCTGAAGGCACAGTGCGCTCTGGGGTCTCCTGCGGCTCGAAAGAGGAACGAAAGCAGACGCATGCAGCAGAGTGGTCCTGTTTATTCCCGAGCAGCGAACGGGGTGGGGGACAAGTGCTCCCTGCCTGGGGGCTCGCTGAGCGGGACCACGGGCCTCGGTCCTGTGTGCATTGCTGAGGGGTGTCGGCATCTGAAGGCGCGACCTCTCGGCCCTTGGCCCACACCTCCCAGGGAGCACTGGTTCCGCCCTCAGCGAGGCCACAGGGAGCGCTCCACTGCCTGGTGACACCACTGTGCCTGGGCAGAGGGGGGACAGCCACGGTGAGGTGTTCCCCAGGACTCACTCCTACCCCCGGCCCACTGGCTCCCACCGGGCCAGGCCCACCCCAAGTTCAGAGCCTTCGAGTCCAAGGGCAGAGCAAGTGCGTGGACACAAATCCCTGCATGAACGGGGCTCCTGGTCAGCGCCGCGAAGGAGACGCTATGGAGACGCCCCTTGCAGGGCCTTTCCGGCCTCAGCCCCAAGGCCGGGCTGTGAGCAGCAGGGAGGCACGGTCAGGCTCAGGCTGTAGCCCCCCACACCCCCACCCCAAGAGGTGCAGGGCGGAGCTCTCGGGAACACGGAGAGTGGCGGGGGGGGGGGGGGGG